GTTCAGCATCTCGGCACAATGGCAACAGTCACAGTTAATTATTCAGAGTTAGCGATCATCAAGAAGAAAAACAAGAGGACTCTTTGACTCATAACTAAAATCATGTTGAAACAATGCACTATATGTAATATGCAACTAGGAGCCCAGGCTCATCAGTCTTAAAAAACTGAGTACATATTTGTCATTCCTGTTAGAAAACACAAATATGTTCACTAAACGTTAATCTGAATTTACTTAGACTAAAACAGAGTGCAGCATACTGTGGGGTGTATTCACTTTGACACTGAATGCATCAGTTTGGTTCTCATATGGCCAGGTATGGTCACCACTAAGACAAACAGCTGTTTTTTTTGGGGGAACACACATTCTGCTGTTACACAATTACACACAAATCTAAATCTTGTGGTTTTTATAGTGGTGGTGACTTTATTAGAATATGAAGGCATTGTATAACATTCTGTTTCATAATACTATGAATGAAAGCGGTATAGAGCCACACTTGTATGTTACACACAGTGCTGCTTCCTGTTTAGCTTTTGCCCCTGCCAGCATGGATTTGTACGACATCCTCCCATTTGATCCAGCCATGAATCATTTAGACTCTTTGAGCTCTGTAATTTTCATGCTGACCATGAATGGAAAGACAAGCAGGATTCTATATACAGTATTGTAGGTTGAGTCACATTCTTTAAATGTCACATATGATGCACTTGATAAGGCTGCTAGTCATCTACTGGTGGAATCAAAGCTGCATCATCTACTGGTGGTTTGTCTAAATCAGTACAACATAAATTCATTCATTTCACAGTGTCCTAAAAAACACAAAAAACTGGTAATGTGATTATGTTTGAGGTCAGATTTTTCAGTTTTCTTTTGATATTCCCTGACAATTCTGCAGTGCCTTTTAAAAATGACTTAGTTAATTAACAATACCTGTATATTGGAGCCAGAATATGGTTATGTTAAGACAAAAACAGTGGACATGACATATGAGCTATGGCTGTTATTTCCGGGTTGCAAGCGAGAGCAGACGTCTTTACTGCTCCTCTTGTCTGTTCTACAATTTTTCACATCTTGTACACTTTCAAATCTTTGAACAAATTCTATAACTATTAAAATGCCTCAAAGAGGGAAAAGAGCTAATAAATCAGAAGCGACTGAGGATATGGAGGCAGAAGAAGTGTATCACAGAGCGGTGCAAGTAACAGACATTGTGGATCAGCAGAAACAGATGTACATCGCGCTGATGAACCAACAGCAGGAAAACTTCAAAGGTTTCGTGCAACTAATTATGGAGACAAACAACAAGAGACTCGACGACATGACCAGAGAAATACAGGAGATAAAAACGAGTTTGCAGTTTACCCAGCGAGAGGTGGATGTGATTAAAGCGGCCATGGGTGAACAGAAAATACAAACCAAGGAGACGAGGGATGATGTCTACAAAACCTGTGAGAGTTTAATAACTATAACGAATAAAATGGAGTATCTGGAAGCACAGTCCAAGCGAAAAAACTTGATCTTTGAGGGAATCAAGGAGACAGCTGGAGAAAGCTGGTCGGAAGCGGAATGTAAAGTGAAGGAGATTCTGAAGAATAATCTGCAAATTCATCAAGAAATTGAGATGG